GTTGAACCATCCTTACATACCTAGTATGAACCCCACTTGGTCATAATGTATTATTATTTTGATGTGTTGTTGGAGTGTATATAATAGTTACTTTTAATTCTTTTCAGCTAATTCCAACATCTAGATCTCCTAGAGTCTGTCACTACTGATTGCATTTTTTCATGAATATGGTTCACATTTTCCTCTTTCTTTCTTTGTCTAGTAATTTTTTATTATATTCTGGACATTTAAAATGATATTTGTAGAGTCTCTGAACTTTATTATATTCTTCTGAATATTATTGATTTATTATTATTATTATTATTTCTTTGTTTTATCAGGCTGGGCTCAATTCTACACTGTATTTTCGCTATGGTTGTCGGCAGCTGAAATAGTTGCTCAATGTTTTTAGTCTTAGCTGGGCTCCATGCCCTGTGCATACATAGTTCAGGAATTTTTACAGAGTTTATATGTAAAATTTAGATCCCTTCTTTGTATCTCTCCTTTTCCAGGATTTCCCCTTCACTTTTCAGCTATTATGGTAGCCCTAAATCTGTCCTTTGGTTCTCTATGTTAGTAAGTCCAAAGGACCATTCCACTTAAAAGTGAGACACTCACTGTTCTGGTTACCTAGGGCTGCTCTGACAGAATATACCACAAATGGGATAGCTTTAACAAACAAGAGTTTATTCTTTTAAAGTTTGGAGTCTTTAAGTCCAAGTTCAAAGTGCCAGGCTCTAGAGGCTGGGTGAAAGCCCCTCAACCTTGGGCTTTAGCTCTGCCTCTTGCTCCCAGCCCACTGGAGCTAGAGGCTTTTCTTCACTCAGACAGCTACTGGCTGCTGAGACTCACAAGCCTAAGGTTGACAAGTAAAAAAGCACAGTCCTGATGTTACCAAACCACACAGCAGACCATTCATTCAAGTCCACTGAAAGTCCCAAGGTTGACAGAGCATGGCAGGCTGCTGAACAATGACATGGCTACAAGTAGGGTCAAGTGTGCCATAAACTAGAGACCATTCCCAAAGCTGTTTCTTATATACAGGAAGCAGACCACATACCCAAAGGCAGCTACTCAGCTGCTCACAGTAGATTGCACCATGGAGTTGATTACCAGTCTCATTTTGGGGAATACTATATCCAGCTGCCCAGCCACTCAACCAGGCCCAGCCAAGTTGACACACAAACTTAACCACCACACTCACCAAGTATTATTCACTTCCCTCAATTATCTTCTCCTCTTCAGTTTTTATCTGCTTTTGGCCACTTTCTAGTACTTTTGAGTAGTGTGTGTGTGTGTGTGTGTGTGTGTGATAAAAATATATAATAAAACATCTGCTGTTCTAGCATTTTTACATGTACAATTTAAATATATTAATTACTTTCATCATGTTGTACAACTGTCGCCACTACCCATTTCCAAATTTTTTCCATCAGTCTCAACAAGGAACTCAATAATTCCTAAGGAATGACTCCTGCTTCCCTCCTCCCTCCTGCCCTGGTAACTATTAAATAACTTTGGTCTCTATACATTTGCCTATTCTAGATATTTCATACAAATGGAATTGTATAATATTTGTCCTTCTGTGACTGACTTACTGCAGTCAGCATAATGTTTTCAAAGTTCATCTGTGTGACAGCATGTATCAGAGCATCATTCCTCTTCCCAGCTCAGTAATATCCCATTGTATTTGTATAGCACATTTTTTTATTTTATCCATTCATCTTTTGACAGACATTTATGTCATTTTCACATTTTGGCTGTTGTAAATCGTGATGCAATGCACATTAGTGTACAAATACCTATGTCTCTGCTTTCAAGTACTCTGGGTATATACCTAGAAGTGGAATTTCTGGCTCTATGTTTAACATTTTGTGGAATCATCAAACTGTTTCCCACAGAGGCTGCGCCGTTTTACAATTCCATCAGCAACAGATGTGAGATCAATTTCTTCACATATTTATCTTAGTTTCTTAGTGCTGCTATAACAGAAATATCACAAGTGCATGGCTATAAAAAGCAAAAATTGATTTTCTCACAATTTAAGAAGCTAGAAATCCAAACTCTGGTCTAGAGGAAGGCTTTTTCTGTCTTCTCTGGGGGAAAATCTTCATTTCAGCGTCTCTGGCATTCTCTAGATGTTCCTTGGCAATCTCCATGTGACGTCTATTTTCCCCCCTCCCCCATTCCTGCTTGTTTGCTTCTGTGTGTAATCTACTCTTTTATATCTCAAAAGTGATTGACTTGAGAAATACTTACACTGATTTGGCATCATTAGCGTATCAAAGAAAAATCCTATTCCCAAATGGATTACATCCACCAGCATAGGGACTGGGATTTACAACACATATTTTGGGGGGACACAATTCAACCCGTAACACTGGCCAGCAGATGTTGTTTTCTGTTTTTCTGATCATAAAATAAAAAAACAAACTCACTGCCATCAAGTTGATTCTGACTCATAGCAACCCCCATTGTGTTTCTGGGGCAGCAAATCTTTATGGAAGTAGATTGCCCCATCTTCCTTCCATGAGTGGCTGGTGGGTTTGAACTGCCAACCTTCTGGTTAGCAGTGAAATGCCTTTTCTGATTATAGCCATCCTAAAACCACTAAAAATCAAAGCTATTCCCATTGAGTTGATTTTAACTCATAGCGATCCTATATAGTACTCTGGTACTGAGTACATGCTCAATCAGTTGTGGAATGAATGAATGCTTCAGTGGAGACAAAGGAATCTGGGAAGATCCTGAGTACTTTCTCTTCTTCCAAATCTTCCTATGTTTAGGTCACTCCTGTCTTCAACAGTCTACATCTCAAGACATTATATCAAAACCCCATGAGATATAAATACTTATTGATTTATTCATTCTCCAGATGTTTTTACATATGTATTTATAAACTCATCCTTCTGTGTGCCCGTTGGTTTGTATGTGAAATCCTTTGTTCACCCTTCTTTTTTGTTGTTAGTTGCTGTTGAATTGGCTCCTACTCATGGTGACCTTATATGCAGCAGAATGAAATATTGCCCAGTCTTGCATTGGCATGTTTGAGTCCATTGCTGCAGCTATTGTGTCAATCCATCTCATTGATGGTTTCCCTTGTTTTTGTTGGTAGGCTACCAAACATCATGTTCTTTTCTAGAGATTGTTTTTTTCCTGATGTTTTGTCCAAAGTAACCAGGTCAAAGTCTTGCCATGATTGTTCCTAAAGAGCATTTGATTGTATTTCTTCTAAGACTGATTTGTTCATCCTTTTGGCAGTCACAGAATATTCAATATTATTCACAATACCCCGTTCAAACACAACAACTCTTCTTCTGTCTTCCTTTTCCATTTTCTAACTTTCACGAAAAAGAAAGAGCATGGCTTGGGTTCAGGCACACTGTAATCATCAAAGTGGCATCTTTGTTTTTTAAAACTTTGAAGAGGTCTTTTGCAACAGATTTTTACAATGCAATACATCGTTTGATTTCTTGACTGCTGCTTCCATGGTTGTTGATTGTTGATCCAAGTAGAATGAAGTCGTTGACAACTTCAGTTTCTTTTCCATTTATCATGAAGTTGTTTAGCTGTTTATCAGTTCAGCTGTCCAGTTCTTAAGCTGAAAGCATTGGAATTTGTTTACCCTAGGGTTTGCATAAGGAGGCTTGCTTAGCTTAGGTTAACATTGTGACATCATGATAAGATAAAATATGAAGTTGATCACCATCCTACAGAAGCTATTTCCTTTAAGGATAAAGACTACTTTTCCTATTCCCTGGGAGCTCTGGTAGCGTAGTGCCTAAAGCACTTAACTGCTAACCAGAAGGCTGGCGGTTCAAACCCAACAGCCATTCCTCAGAAGGAAGGTTGGGCAATCTACTTCCTTAGTGATACCGCCTTGGAAACCCAAGGAGGGGTCGCCATGAGTCGGGTCCAACTCGATGGCACATAATAACAACAACAACAACAAGTTACTTAAATGCTGGGTAAAGCTGAGCCCTGAGATTTACCTTTGAGAAGGCACCGGAAGAGGAGCAGCAGAGTTAAGAACTAGAAGTATTGTACTTTTTTGATGAATGACCACTTCAAAACCTTCCCAGTTGACAGCTATACTTCTCTTTTGATTCAGGATATTCTGTTCTTGTTTATTTGTCACAAACTTCATTGTCTTGTTAAAAACAAACAAACAAAAACCCTAGTACCTCAAAAGATCAACAGAGGGAAATTTTCCTTTATAATATGCTGTAAAATATGTCCTTTTCTTTGAAAAAACTGTGGTGAGGGGAGAAATATGCTCTTTAGTTTGACTAGGCATGCTTTTAAATTGTTTGGAGGTGGTTGCATATGGACCTTCATATAAACTTGTATCTCTATCATTTAAAAGAAAAGATGAGAGAAGGAAATTAGCCCATTAATTATTTAGAATACTTGGTGCAACTGTTTCTATGAATTAATCCAGGCACTTGGAAGACAATTACACTCAGTTTCAATAACCTTGCCAACCTTTTCCAGTATGCTGCGCTCCAAATACTATTGTATTTTCATTGACAACATTCACTATTACATATGCATATGAAAAACAGGCATTTTCATCAGAATTACCGTAATAGCATTAAGAGATTATTATTTTTTCCAATTTCCTTCAAAGAAAATTCACTTAAATTAGATTATTTATTACTTGACTGCTCTTCTATTTTGCCTGTATGTTTAGGTAACTGGAATCCATGAAAGTATAGACTTCAAAAATAAAAAGCATGATTTTATACATTAATGATTTCAAATAAAAGAAGAGTGCTACGTTTGCGCTTGACTTCTTTTGAGAAAGTTAAGTCTGTGTTCTGCTTAGGAGAGATAACACTTTTTGTCCCTGTAGGTGGCCCCCTGGTGTAGCCATTAGTTGCTAATTACTTGCAAACAAATAAACAATTATCTTCTCTAGCGGCTGGGTGGGAGAGTGTTCATTGACATGCTAAAACTTTCTAAGACAGGATTTTAATTAGTGACGTTCTAAATCCAGCCCCCTTGTCAGTGGAGCTATAAAGTAAGCAGTAGGAAGATTCAACCTTGCACACGTGAGGCAGAGGTAGCAGAGAGGCTAGGAAGGGCTGAGGCTGACTCTGTGCTGTCCACTCGAGGATGTCTCCCAGCCTTCAGGAAGGCACTGAGCTTGGAGAAAGCAAACCCTCACCTTGCTCCTTTTCAATTGAGAGTATCTTGGGACTGGACCAGAAGAATGACTGTGTTCCATCAGTGAAACCTCACAGGCCCTGGGCAGACACCTGCAGCTTCTCAGGTATGCCACAACTTAATTTTTAAACTCTTAGTCTTTCATTTGCCGTATTTAGTTTGTTTATTTCATACTACACAGAATTAGAGAGAAACTGTGGTTTCTTCCCATTACATAGCTGAAACATTTAGGATTGTTAATGCCTCCAATGAATGAGTCATATGGAAAATAAATAAGAAGAATTTCAACCTTAGATCCAAGTGAGTATAAAGTTCATTCACCAGGAAAAAGAAAAAAATGCGAAGAACCTTCAGAGGATCTCTCTGTGTGTTTTTGATACATCAGATATTCTAAATCTGTCTTTACTGAAAAATATATGGCATTCAGAGACCAAAATATTCTCTATTACTAAGGCAAGATCTTCATTTTGGCTTTTTTGTTGTTGATGTTTGTTTGTTTTGAGTTGATGAGGGAGTTGAGGGAGGCACGTATTTATAAAACCCGGAAGAATTTCAATGAGAAAATTCAAAACAAGTTCCCCAAATTATTTCTTTTAGAACTTTGTGGCATATTGACTTAGACATCTCAAACGAGGTTTATTTTTCTGTTTTTAGGGAAAGATGATCACTTACATCTACAGATCCCAAGCTTTCCCAGTGAGATCTCATTCCCCTGTACTGTGGATCACCCGATGGCAGAGGAAAGAATTTTGAAATATGAAAATTACTTTTCACCCTCAGAAAGGCTGTCTTTCAAGAGAGAATTAAGTTGGTATAGAGGCCGAAGACCAAGAACTGCATTTACTCAAAACCAGGTGGGAAATTATTTCACCCAGTAAAAGGTTTTAACTGACACCCTGTTGAGCAAAAGCCCATTCACTTGGGGATCTCCATTTAGAAGTCTTATTAAGTATCATTTTTTTAACAGTTTCTAGAAAGATGTAAAAGAAAAGGCACACAGATAAATTGCCAAGAATGTTAATGCAAATATCTTGTTACACAAATTAAAGCCAATTTTTTGCTGACATACCAGATATCAATATCTTAAAGAATTGTTTCCTTATTTTTAGATTGAGGTGTTGGAAAATGTCTTTAGAGTAAACTGCTATCCTGGCATTGATATCAGAGAAGACTTAGCTCAAAAGTTGAACCTAGAGGAAGACAGAATCCAGGTAATTTTAAAATTTAGTTATTACTCTTGATGGTTGAAATGTAAAGAATAATGAAAGATTTCTGACACCTATTTTATTTCTCCTTCATTTTAGATCTGGTTCCAAAATCGGCGTGCAAAGCTGAAAAGATCCCATAGAGAATCACAGTTTTTAATGGTGAAAAAGAACTTCAACACAAATATCCTGGGATAGAAAACTCAACATGTGAAATTATCTTCTAGTTGTAAACCATGAAAAATCTCAGTGGAAATACCAAGTGTTAAAAATGTGATGTTTTCTTTCCTGTATTTAATCTGAATATTGTCATTTAAAAAAATATATTGTAAATAATTACTGTTTGCTACATGGTACATATTATATTTGGTCACTTTTGCTTAAGATAAAGGCCTTCTCTGTATATTTTAATAAACATTTTCAGAAAAAGCCATCTATTTTTTTAAGTATGCAAATTTAATCTAGTAAATTAGTTTGCTAAAATCAGTAAACCCAAGGCTCACTTCACAAGTTGGATTCTATTTATAAACAATATCTGAGGAATAGCACAAAAGTGTGATTTGTTTAAATTTGTTTTCTTTCAAGAACATTTTGAAACATGTTTCTGCTTAAATACATTACAGAATATGATTTATTCATGAATCTTTTGTTTCTCTTGATTTCTGGCATAAAGCAGTGAGAATACCTTACCATATATCAAAACAAAACCTATGCCAGTTTCAGGTTGTTTTTTTTTTTTTTTTAAAAAAAGCAAAGGGAATATGTCAAAATACAGATACAAACACATCAGCTTTTATTTTCATACCATCAGTATTACATTGCACAAAAGAAGTAAGATGGAATTAATGTAAATTTTAAATATTTTTCTGGTACACTTAACATACTTTACTTTCATTCATTAAAGTGATAATGATCACCTGGCTTGCATCTATTTTCAATTTAATGATTTTCAATTTTCTGTATAGCAGCTCTGTTGGCTCACTGGTTAAAGCATTGGGCTACTAACCAGAAGTTTGGAGGTTCCAACCCACTAACTGCTTAGCAGGAGAAAGTTGGCTTCTGTAAAGATTACAGCCTTGGAAATTCTATGGGGCAGTTCTCCTCTACCCTATAGGGTCATTCTGAGTTAGAATTGACTTGATGGAAGTGGGTTTTGTTTTTTAATTTACTATTTTGTTATAAGTATTGCCTTGATTAAAAACATATGACAACTGACCTGCCTTTTGTATGTGCTCTGACATAAACCCATCAAAAACCCACTGCCATTGAGTCAATTCTGACTCATAGCGATCCTGTAGGACCAACTGCCTCAGGGTTTCCAAGGCTGTAAATCTTTACAGAAGCAGATGGCCTTATCTTCTGGAGTGGGCTGGTAGGTTCATACTGCTGACCTTTTGGTTAGCACCTGAATACTTCAACAACACTACCGCTAGCACTCCAGTGATATAAAAATTCTCACGGCCATAGAGTCAGTCCCAACTCATAGTGACCCCTCCTTGGGTTTCTGAGACAGTATTACTACAGAAGTAGATTGCCCAATCTTTCTTCCAAGGAGTGGCTGGTGGGTTTGAACTGCCAGCCTTCTGGTTAGCAGTCAAATGCCTTAGGCACTATGCCACCAGAGCTCTTCCAGTGACAGTCAGTGGAAATAATCAGGGCACTTTCTTTGATACAAAAATTGTGTTTGGGATTTTGCATTTTCCCATTGTATCTGCAAGTTAAATATGGGACTAGGATAAGAAGCATGGCAAGACAGGAGTTCTCCACTGGAAATGTGGGCATTTGTTTTATAGTTGTTGGAAGGCCTATGTGGGTGTCATCTTGCAGCGTTAGCTTAAGAGCTCTGAGTTTGTCTACTGGCAGCCGTATTTCCACTGTAGAAATTCAATCCTTTAGAACTGAATTTTGCCTTGCTTTCCTCTTCTTTCCTATTCCATTACCTTCCTTTCTCTCCCATTGATGACCAGAATGGGAGATTCTCACTTGATTTTTGTGTCTATACCTACTATTTTTTTGTTGTTGGTAGAATTTTTTTCTTTTTTTTTTAAGAATGAGAAATATTGGAGGGAAGTAGCATGTAATTCTAAGGAAAAGCAGCTTGACTCAGATTTTAGAGTTTTTAAGAATCGTTTACTGACTGCACATTTGGGATAGAGAACTCTGTCCCAACAGTTGGTCAGGCATAAGCTGCTTTTATTTCACATCACTATTTCTGAGGTAGGATGCCTTGTGGCACAGTAGTTAAAGTGCTCAGCTGCTAATCGAAGGCCAGCAGTTCCAATCTAGCAGCCCTTCCATGGGAGAAAGATGAGGCATCTGCTTCCTTAAGGATTACAGCCTTGACAACCCTATGGAGCAGTTCTACTCTCTCCTTTAGGGTCTCTTTGAGTTGGAATCAACTTGATGGCAGCGGGTTTGTTTTCTTTTGTTGTTTTAATTAAAAAAAAATAATAATAATCTGGTGAGGAAAGGTACAGTAATGCTTCAGTATTATTGCCTTGGTATTTTCCAATTGTAATTTTATATAATTTTGATATAAAAAACCAAACCAAATTCACTGCCATAGAGTTGGATCCAACTCCTGGCGATCCCTCCTTGGGTTTCCGAGGCAGTATTGCTACAGTAGATTGCCCAGTCTTCCTTCTGAGGAGGATAATAACTTTGATATATGCAGTCCTAAAATTTAATTTCATTTATAATGGAAATAAGTTGCATTTATAACTGAGACTATATATTTATAACAGAAAAAATTTATAGTAGAAATAATACATTTACAACTGAAACAACATTTAGATGTCAAAAAATTAAAATAATATTAGAGTTTATAATATTAAGAGAAATAACTGAATCTATACATATCCTTTTATATTTTGAGATGCTAATTATGGAATATGAATTCTATCAAAACTTTGTGATTCAAGTTTATAATATATAATATACAAGAAGAAGATAGTAAATAAATCACTAGTATATTTCCCTAAAATCTTTTTTGAAAATTTAAAAGGTAAGGGCTGAGCTTGTTAAAAGAAATAATGTATTTGTAACTTTTTTGGTATTATGATTGCTAATTTGGAGAGAATAATATGATATTCAGGGGAAAAAAACCTGGACTTTAACTTTGAGGAAAAATCAAGGAAGATGGAAATGGAAATGAAAACCCAAGATAGAATTATCTTTCCCTCAAAACACACAGGCTCTAATCCATAGCTTATCTCTGTGCCTGGTAATTCCAGGCCTTTGTCTCCATTAATGCCCAGGACAAGGTGAACAGTAGTAACAAATCAAACTAATGCAGTCAAGCTAATACCTGGAGCGTCTCTATTATCTGACAACTGCCTAAATAAGGTTATTTGGTCTCCTGTAATGGCATTTGTCTCTTGTGAAGCCAGCCAGCCAAAGCCAGTTTACTAAAGAGTGCTGGTGGAAACAATGGCTGTGTGTGCTGGTGGTCAACTTTTGAGTTAATCAGTGTTAATAGCTGATTTTACCCCTTGCATCTTATCACATATCATACAAATGGCATAAATCTCCCATTACTAAACCTGCACACAGCATCAGCCTGGGCCTCATGCCTGCCTCTAAAGGCAGGGGACTGTGTGCTAGTCCCTTACTTGATGTGTAACCTAGATCACAGTATGATGGTAACTTGCTATCTCTATTTCAGTGATCCCCATATGAACAAAACCTTGTACTAATAAAATCTTCATGTGCTTGTTGTTAAATATAATGCCTATTTTGACTGTTTTATCCCCTGCTGGGGCACCAACCCATAGCAACTGAGGCAGCTCACCCTTTCCCATTTTCTTCTTTCTTGTTTTATTATCCCTCCGCCTTTTCCTTTTTCCCTTCTAACCCCTTGGCAAGCCTGTGAGTGTCCACAGGCATTGCTAAGACCTACAAATGGTCCTTCAGACTAAAAATGTTTTGCTTACCTTGAATCAAATATAGTCTCCAAAGTTTAGGAACTTAGCATCTGTTCTTTCTTCAGGCCTCCTAGGATGGCCTAGGGGGCCAACTTGTGTTATTACATCTTATGACAGGATAATTTCAGTGAAATATATAACACCATATTTTATGTTCTACTTAGCACATTATTGATGTTGTTGTTGATGTTACATTATAAGCTTGTGAAAAACCACTTATCTCTTACATATGATATTGGTCAAGACAAAGCACAAATGTATCATTTAAAAATATTATTTTATTATGGTAAAAATACATATAACAAACCATTTTCCAATTCAACATTTTTTGCATTACAATTAAGTGACATTAATTATGTTCACCATGTTGTGTAACAATCACCACTGTCCATTTCCAAATTATTTTATCACCATAAACAGAAACTCAGAATCCTCAAAGCAGTGACACCACATTTTCCCCAAACCTGGTAACATTAATAAACTGATCTTCATCTACTTGTCTGTTCTATAAATTTCATATAAGTGAGATTATACAATATTTGTCCTGTTATGACTGACTTCTTTCACTCAACATAATGTTCTCAAATTCATCCATGTTGTAGCATATATCAGAACTCCACTTCTCTTTATGGCTGAAAAGTATTCCATTGTATGAGTATATCACATTTGGTTTATCCATTTATCTGTTGATGGACATTGAGGCTGTTTCTACCTTTTGGCTATTGTGCTGGTGATACAATGAACATTGCTGTACAAGTTTCTGTTTGCATTTGTGCTTTTAATTCTTTTGGTGTATATACTTATGATTGGGATCACTGAGTCATATGGTAATTTCCTTTTATTGTGATTAGGGTTAAAGTTTACAGAGCAAATTCCTTTTCCATTCAACAGTCCATACACATTTTATTTCATGACATAGATTGCAATCCATATAATGTAACAGCTCTCTTCCCACTTACTCCCTGTGGTTCCTTTTCCCTGTGTCTTTCTTTCCTATGCATTCCTGACTTACGAGATTTCTCCTTGGTCAAATGCTGCCCTTCTGATCTGCCATGGTTGATTGTTCTAAGGAGTATATCCCCCTGGTGGAATTGTTTACCTCTTAGGCTTTTCTGTTGTTTGGCTGAAAATTAAGCCACAGGAGTGAGTTCAATTTCAGGCCCAAAGAGTGACTAGGGGCCATAGTCTTAGGGGTTTTACCAGTCTCTATCAGACTAGTAAGCCTGGTCTTTTTCATGATTTTGAGTTTTGTTCCACATTTTTTCCCCATTGTATCTAGGATCTCCAGTTTGATCCCTTTCCCAATGTTTGGGGTATAGCCATGCACCATCTAGTTCTTCTGGTCTCAGAGTCATATAGGTAGAGGTTCCCTTGATCCACTATTTCCTTTGACTAATTATTTCCATGTGCCTTTGATTTTCTTCACTCTTCTTTGCTCCAGATGAGGAGAGACCACTAGTTGCACCCTAGAGGGCCACTTGTAAGCTTTTAAGACCCCAGTTGTTACTCACCAGTTGGGATGTAGAAAATGTTTCTGTATAGTATTTTATGGTAATTGAGCTT